TACTAATTAATTTACAGCTAGTTCTCATTCATGTGGCCTGTTTATACGTTTATTTTGACTTTTTTGGCTGCTGCATTGCATCTAATTAATTACTGACACCTTCCACTAAGGAAGCACACGATTTGCAGAGTCAAATACCAGCTGAGGCAAAGAATAGCCTAGAGCCAAAATTTTCTCAAGTTTTAGCTGTTAGATTATATGGGTGGAATTATCTTTCAATTGAAAACTTTTATATATATATATATATATATAATTAATTAATTAATACATATATAGTTATCATAATATAATTTTTTAATAAATATAAGTGAAACATTTAACTTACTTCAAACTTACAGTTCCTTATAAAGAAAATAAATTACTAATAGTCAAATGAAAAAATAATTAGTATAATGGAATTATATTTGATCATATATGTAGTATTTAGTAATATACCCCAAAAAAAAAATTTACTTGGAAAGAATCTGAAGTAAAATTAAAGAAGAATCTCGTACCAAAAGGTAAAAGGAAGTTAATTTATATATTTTTAATACTCAAGTGATATGTAAACTAGTTCACACTATATTTATTTTTTAAAAAGTTATGCCAAACTTCAATATATTATGATTATTTTAATGTAAAAAATTTAACTATTCTAAAATACTTCTTAAACACCTAATTATTTTTTATTATTTTTGTAACGTACCCGGAAATATTAAAATGAAATGGGTATTTAAATATATCAAATGCAGAAGCGAGATCAAAATTTCAGTTAACATCCCTTACACGAAAAACCAAAAACGTACTTAAAATATAAAAGATTAAACTAACTAAGAGAGAAACTTGAAAATAAAACTATGAGTATGACTACAGAGTCTCTAGGCATCCCCTTCGTCGTCCTCCTGCGGAACGGGCTCGGGAACCATGTTTTTCTGATCTGAAATGGTTAAATAAGGAGTGAGCTACACTAGCCCAGTAAGAACATCACGATATCTCACCGTCACGGAGGTAAAGGTGGGTAGAAAAACACAAAAAGACCAATGGAGCATAATTTACAACAAACTCGTTTATTAACATGAAAACCTTTACCATCCACTTACCTCGGTGGAATTTATGAAAAACAATATAAGAAAAACAATAACATTATCATAATCATTGAATAATATAAGCTGTAAAACATAACACTTATCACGCCTCTTGTAATTCAATCATTGTACAACATATCTTTTTCTCATTTACCAGCCTACTAGTATCCGTGGGGGTCCATAGGGGTTCCGCTACCCGTTAACCTTTAACATTCATAATCAGTTTCCAGGGCCGTCCCCATACCCCGTCCAGTATGGGCGCCAAAACCATGAACCTCAATACCCCGTCCGGTATGGGCGCAAACATAACCTCAATACACGTCGGTATGAAG